GTGTCCTTCCCTTTTACCTCACGTTCTCTGTTCCAGCCACATCCGCCTCCTCACTGACTGTTCTTCAATACACTAAGTACATTTCCTCCTCAGGACCATTGCGCCTGCTGTTCTCACTGCGTGGAGCATGTTTCTACATCACCCTCCCTACATACCTGCAGGCTTGCTTCCTCACTTTTGTTCAGTCTTATGTTCAGATGTCACCTCATCACTGGAGTCTTTCCAGATTGAAAATATCTAAATATCTATCCCTATATAAATAACATTCCTTTAGTGCTCCTGAATATCCCGCTTTATTTTTGAGACATCACTATCTGCCGTGATGTATCTTTATGTGTTTGTTTCTTGACTCTCTACCCTTAGTAGAATATGGGCCGATGAGAGTGGGCCCACAGTCTGTTTTGTTCAGTGTTTCAGGCTCAGTGCCACAAATAGTGCCTGACTTTTGGTGGACATTGAATGAATACCTGATTAATCTGCAGCAAGGAAGAGCAACTCCTGAATCAAAACTGGGTGTTTGCACAGTTTTGTTTTGCTGTGTAGAAATCAGATTTTCCTTCAAATCAGCATTTCCCGGTAGCTAGAGAAGTCCAGCCTCCATTTGAGTGGGTTCCAAGTCAACCAACTGCCACCTAATGCAGTGGCAGCCATGACCAGGCTTTCAGTGCTCTGGCCAAGAGCAGGCAGGGTGAGTGAGGCTGGGCCCAGTCCCTGGGGAGGGATGAACTCACATCGTCTTGGGGCAGCCATTGTTGGCAGAAATACATAGGCAGCAACCCTGGAATAGGAGAAGGATTGCTAGGCTAAGCCAGAAGGCCTGGGTTTGGATCCTAGCCGTGTGACTATCTTAGTTTCCTAAGGCTGCCATAACAAAACATCACAAACTGGGTAGCTTAAAACAATTTTTTTTCTTTTTTTTTCTTTTGTCTCACAGTTCTGGAGACTAGAAGTAGAAAATCACGGTGTTGGCAGGGCCATGCTCCCCCTGAAATCTGCAGGGGAAGGAGCTTCCCCTGCCTCTTCCCCCTTCTGGTGGTTTTTCAACAATCTCTGTCTTCACGTGGCGTTCTCCCTCTGTGGGTCTGTCTTCACAGGGCCATCTTCTTATAAGGATACCAGTCATATTGGATTAGGGTTCTATCTAGTCCAATGTGACTTAATCTCAACTAAGCACATTAGCAGTAACTATTTCCAAACAGGGCCAGAGGTTAAGACTCTGGGGGTCTTTTTTTTTTCTGATACCAAATGTGTCATTTTTCCCAGCATCAGCTATTTCTCTAATGCAACCAGGTGTCCAACAATACAATTCAATTCTAATAGTAACTACCCAGAATTAGCACAGACCCCACAAACAGATTCAGTCCTACAAGATTGTTCCCACTTCAGATACCAGCAGCAAATACAGTGCCCAAGCTACCATACTTTTGTCCAACTGAACACAAATTCGGGTGTTCTCACAACCACCTCCCCAGTTCAATAATTCACTAGAACAACTCACAGAATTCAGGAAAGTTGTTTATTTACAATTACAGCTTTATAATAAAGAATACAACTCAGGAACAGCCAAACAGGAGAGGTGCTTAAGTGGAGGTACGGGAGGGGTGGTGCATGGAGCCTCCATACCCTCTCCAGGTGCACTACCTCGAGAGCACGTTGATGTGCTCACCAACCCGGAAGCTCCCTGAATCTCCTTCAAAAGTTTCTATAACTCCATCTCCAGCCCCCTTCTCTACCAGGATGGAGGGTACGGCTGAAAGTTTCTATCCTCTTTTCCCAGGCCTGGTCTTTCTGGCGACCAGCCCCCATTCTGAAGCTATCTAGGGCCCCTACCCTGAGTCACCTCATTAGCATAAACACATATGGTTGAGAAAGGGGCTTGTTATGAACAACAAAAGACATTCCTATGACTCAGGAAATTCTAAGGGGTTTACAAGCTCTGTGCTGGGAACTGGGGACAAAACCAACTATTTTGTATTCTACCATGGACCTCAACGTATCTTTGGGGATTGGGAGGGGGTGCAATTCAACCCATAATGGTGACTTTGAGAAATACACTTGACCTGCTTTGCCTCAGCTTTTCTATCTCACTGGGCCACTAGGAGATATAATCATTGAAAATTAGTTGGATTGAAAATGAAATTTGTCCATAATCCAAGGGCTTTATTTTAGCGGAGCTGAAACTTTAATTTGTCCAACAACTATTTACTGAGCAGCACCTATATGTTTGGCTTAACACTAGCATTTGGGCAAAGAGGGGTGGAAAAGACAAACCCAGACCTACGCTTGAAGGGTTGACGTTCTAGTGGTCATGGAACATGGGATAATATTAAATAAACAAAGTATTCTTACAAAATTAACATTTTAAAGGGAGCAAAGCCTGCTAAGAGAAGTGGAGAATTTGGGAGTCTTTTCCTTGAAATCCAGATGGATCCAATGGCATAGGATAGTTTAGATCAGTGGTATTAGAACCAGATTACCCATATTGGAATTCCTATACCTCTGTTTAATTATCTGTGACCTTGGGCAGAAGAATCAAACTCAGTGTGCCTCAGTTTCCTTATTCACAAGAATACCATTGCCTATCTCCTAGGATTGTTTCCAGGATTAAATTTCTTAATGCAGGGGCACCTGGATGGCTCAGTCAGTTAACCTGATTTTGGTTCAGGTCATGACCTCAGGGTTTGTGACTTTGAGCCCCACATCAGGCTTTGAATTGACAGCACAGAACTTGCTTAAGATTCTCTCTCTCCCTCTCTCTGCCCCCATCCGCTCTCTATCTCAAAATAAATAAATAAACTTAAAAAAATATATTTAATGCATGAAAAGTGCTTACAATAATGCCTGACATGGAAAGAGCATCCAATAAATGTTAGTGACTATCATCATTACTATCATCTGGTGATTGTTGAGAAAGGGCATGATTAAATTCTTTAATAAAATGTTTTCTTGGAAAACTAATGTCAACCAAGAGCATCAGTCTTAGTGTTGCTGGGTCCACCCAAAAAAGTGACCTTTTGAATTCAAACATGTTGGAAGGAGTAATCTTTGTGGGAGCCCCTGGGTAGCTGTGTAATGCTTATGAACTATAAATATCTATAGTTCTACTTTGAGATTCAGAGAAATAAATTCCAGATTTTATAGAACTGTGGTAATGCAGGACTCCTTTGGCTTTTTCCCTGTCATTTCAAATGATTTACCTGTCATTTTTAGGGAACTATGGAACCCCACTTCCTTGGTACTTCCTTCTGCAAGAGTCCTATTGGCTTGGTGGTGAAGGTGAGTTGTTTAAAATTTTTAATAAAAATCTTAATGTTTGAAACTAACTCCTTTGGCTATGTCATGGATACACATAGGCTATAGAGGTGGCTCCTTCTGTCAAATGTGTGATTCCTGATTAGTTAGCTACCTCCTGAGGGCTCTGCCACTGTGGTGCAGCATCATAGCCTCTAGGAACCCACCTTTGGGAGTTGCTGGGCCAGGGTGAATGGCTGAGCATTGCTAAACCCTTGTGTCCTATACAGCTTGTGCCCAGCGGATTAAATTGCCTAGTAAAAAAAGGCCAAACCACTTTAGGGTGCAAATGACTTTTGCAACTCCTCAATTTAAAGCAGGGAGATCCATAGAATCATGAAGAAACCTTTGTACTGGTTATCTTTTGCCTCCCCTCCTGCTTTTTTATTCCTTTCCAAAATATAAATTAATGCATTCTCCCAAGGTAAAGGTACATCCAGAGGTTGGGGTGAAGCTATGATCTTTAAGACAAACACTCCCAGACTCTTCTCTAATACTCATCTTACTTATGGTTGGGGAAGAGGGGTAAGGGAGTATTTGCCCAGAATGCATCTTAGCTAAAATGTACCTCTCCTACTAAACAGGACAGGAAGCCCAGGGAGAGTTCTAGAAGTTCCATAGACTCTTTTGTGAGGTATGAGAAGGCAAGAAATTCCTGCCATGATTACTGGGGACTTCCTTGGAGCTGGTAGTTTCTGGAAGCAAAAGAAATACTTTCCAATCTGTTCCTCACCTACCTGCACTTTATTTTATATTATTGGGTCTAGGCCAGGATTTATTCTTTAAGCACTAAGATAGATGTTTGTTTTCTGTAGGTGATTAGCCTGGGGCCTTTAAAAAAGGCTTGGGTGGTTTGTTTTGTTTTGTTTTGTTTTTATGGTTCAAACAAATAGCACTTCAACGCTCAGTATTTTTCTGTTATGTTGGTTTGTCTATCTTGTCTATAACTTTTAAATTTCAACCATAATAAAGTTATCCATTGTAAATGGGGTTTTTCAACACGGGAGCATATTCCTGAACATTTCTAATTTCAGTGAATATCAAAACTTGTGGGCATTTTTTCCCTCTACAATTTCAGCAGATAATCTGTCTCTCAAAAAAAAAAAATTCTTAAGACAAATGTGCTCTTTCAAAAATGAATCACATGTATTTTTGCTAACAGCAGCCAAATATTTTTCACCTGCCTCACAGGCTAGACTGAAATAGATTCCTAACTGTCTCTAAAATCAGAAAAGAGCTGTGTTTTCCCACCTAATCCCCTCCTCTCACAGACAAAGAAATTGAGCTCAAGAGGACCAGCGTCTTGTCTAAGTCACTTTTGTCACTTGGGACAAAATCTGGAACTGGGACACACATTTCCTGGCAAGGAACTCACCCGCTGACTAAACTATGTAGAAGATCTCTCCCTGCTATGTTGTTGCATGTTAGTGCAGTAGGATAGCTAGTAAAGTGATCAAAGGAATTGTGGGTAGTCGATTTGAAAATCCCCCAGGAAGCAGAAATAGAAGTGCCAAAGGTGGCTGGTCCCTGACCACCAGGCCCATTACTTGCTCCTCCACCCACAGCTGCAGATCGAAGAGGGCGACCAGGAATGACAGAGGCCCTGGTTGGCTGCTGCATTAAAAAAAACTCGCCCTGCCCACATCTGTGCTCCTGAGACCAGAGCCTTTAGATTCTTGGCGACAGTGGTTTCCTCCTGCCCTGCTTACCTCTCTGGCTGGCTTGCTCTTCAGCTTGCTTCTCTTCCCCTTCCAGGATGTCCTGATGTCCTTTTAAATCAAATGCCAAATTTACAAAAAAAAAAAAAAAAAAAAAAAGAAAGCCTCTGTGTGTGTTTACACCACCTTCACAGTTTGTTATTGTTGTTGTTTTTAATGTTTATTCATTTTTTAGAGACAGAGACAGTGCAAGCAGGGGAGGGGCAGAGAGAGAAGGAGACACAGAATCTGAAGCAGGCTCTAGCCTCTGAGCTGTCAGCACAGAGTCTGACATGGGACTCGAACCCACGAGCCACAAGATCATGACCTGAACCAAAGTCGGACGCTCAACCAACTGAGCCACCCAAGTGCCCCAACGATTTGTATAAGCCTATACCTCAACCAGTCCTAACTCTGGTGTTAGTTCCAAAAGACTTGAATGCCCATAAAAATGCTTAGGTAAATTATTTTTCAAACTGTAATTTAAGCTGGCTACCCATCATATCACCTTGAATCGTCTTCTCTCAAGATTCATCATGACTTTAACATGTTTTTGATTGGAGCAGGAACTACTGTTGGTGAGGTAAAGAAAATTACCCCATTGCAAACTTGGTCCTGGTTTTGTGAATTTTTCTTAATTACAATTTCTGACATTGTGGGCCCCTGCTGGCATGTTAAGAGGATGAAGTGAAACACCTGTTACAAAATACACTCTGAGCTCAGCAAAGATTGACAGTCCAGCCAGCCAGCAATACCAGCCATTTTGAGAACTTTAGAGGCCCACAGGCCCCTGGGAATGCTGACTTGGCCTTCTGAGGGAACTGTTTTCCAGTTATGGTAGGAAACTCTGCAACTACTTCCTTCTGCCCTCCTTTTCCTGCCTTTACTGATTGTTAGCTCCCACCAGGAATAACAGTGGCTTCTGGTTGGTGCAGGCTGTTCAACCAGAGAAGAAAGGGCCCTGGAAAAGACGGAACCCATAACAGAGGAAATGGAGGATCCGGAACACCCAGAAGGGACCCATGGTAAAAACCTCCATTAGGGGCAGAGAACAGAAGCAAGGGAAAGGCTCAGACTACTGTAAAAAGCTAGAGCAAAACCCTTCATGCCTGGCGTGAAGTAAAACCCAGGATACTGACTCTGTGGTGACAAGGGTTAAAACCTGATAGCTCCTCAAGGGCCAAGCTGCACGTGTGTGGGATGAATGGTCCAGCCAGACATTAACGCATATTTCCTAGAGAAAGCAAATCCCAAGTATGTGGTGTGTTTGTGCCCTTGTTAGGCAATTCCCAAGTGAGTTGCACAAATGTGCTGACTTCCGAGGATTTAGCAAGAACAATAACTTGGGTCACTGGGACTTAAAGAGGATATGAGCTATAAGGAAAGACAAAAATAAATGCTTCTGTGCACAGGAGGAAGGAGTCTAGTGGAGCTGACTACACTTCATTCGTAGTTTACAAATCTAGAGGTCCATTCATTCAAACCATCAAAAGCCTTTCCTGACCGTGGAAGTTACCTAACAATTCCTGAGCTGATGAATTAGGTTTGCAACTATTCCCTGGCTTTGCCTTCTTTACCTTCTCTCTTAAACCAGTTCTGTACTTCTCCCCATGTTATCCATTCCCTAAGCATGTACACTTCTCTGTTATGCTAAAATGCTCTTGCCATCCTCACCTTGGGGTCAGAGAAGCAACATGGCCTCTGGACTTTGCCTGCCACCGTGTGAGAAGGTCTGGCCTCTGGCCCTCTGGCCTACCCCAGGTGCTATTTCACAAAGCTGAAGTCAATGATGCACGGCTCATCAGAGAACTGGTCTGCAGTCAATAGTGCCTCTGGGAAGGCCCTCCTCCCAGAGTGGAATTCTAAGGCCAAAACTGGGGGGCTGGGGCCTGGTCCACCTTATTTTTAGGAGACACCAGGAGGCACACATAGGAAAAGCATTGGGATGTTGTTTTGTAGGGGAGTCAATGCTCAGAACTACGATGTTAACAAATTAGGGGGTGCTATATAGGGTGAACTAAAGCAGAGAGTGACTGGAGGTTGGAGAAGTGGACACCACATTAATGAGGGTCTGCACCGGGAGAGTGTCAGAGTGGATGAGTGGAGGGGCAGAGTTGGAGGGGTGGTGATGAAGAAGAGTGGACTATACCCTGAGGCACCTGGTTGGCTCAGGTGGTTAAGCATCTGACTTTGGCTCAGGTCATGATCTCACAGTTTGTGAGTTCAGGCTCTGCATCAGGCTCTGTGCTGACATCTCACAGCCTGGAGCCTGCTTCAGATTCTGTGTCTCCCTCTCTGTCTGCCCCTCCCCAGCTCACACTCTCTGTCAAAAATAAACATAAAAAAAAAAAAAAGAGTGGAGTTTACCCAGTAACTGAGGATCTATGAAGTATGAAGAGCAAAAAAGCTGCTCTATACAAAGTTAATGCAAAGGCCTGAGCCAAGATGACTAGGAGAGGGGCATTACAGGACCAGACATGGGAGAGTCTGAAGGAAAGTTATGTTTTGGGAGGAAGATAAGGAGCCTGAGCTGCTACCAGAAGCCCATGAGGAAATGTCCCTACAGACTTGGAAATGGCAGCCTGGCCTGAAGATTGAGCTTAGGGACTAACTCTCCAAATAGACAGTGCGCTCTGGGTTCGAATCTCAGCTCTGCTGTTCATGAACTATGTGACCTTGATTGGATATTTGATGTCTCTGTGTCTTAGGTTTCCTCATCTATAAAAATGGGCATAATAACATCTACGCCCACAGAGCTGTTACAAGGGTAAAATGAGGTAATACATATAAAGTATTTGAAACAATGCCTGGCACATAGTAACTGCTCAATAAGTGTTAGGTACTATTATTACCATTGTTATTCTCTAGTAATCCGTACAAAGGCTATAACTAAGGCCATGGGGGAAAAAGACAGTGGCCTGAAGAAAGAACCTTGGGGAATGAATACATTAATGCATTACACTAATATCATGTTCATTTTTTTCCTCCAAGACTCCTTCTTTGAACGAGAGCTTCCAGGGTTGGTTCCTGGGGTATGTGTGAAAAATCTGGTAAAGATTTTTGAGCCCTACAGCAGGCCAGCCGTGGACCGTCTTAACATTACCTTCTATGAGAACCAGATCACTGCATTGCTTGGTCACAATGGAGCAGGGAAAACCACCACCTTGTAAGTTTTATGGGCAAAGAGCCTGGATTGCCATTCTATCCTGTCATTTCTGGCTCTCTTCTGCCTCATTAGCTACAGTTTACTCTTTCCCATTGTGTATTAGTGACAAAAATATACTACGTATTTGTGTCCCAAGTGCGTATAAAGCACACTGCAATATTGAAAGCTCACTCACATACGTTGTTTTATTTGATCCTCACAAGAAGTGGGAGAGGGAGGTAAAGTAAGTTTATTGCCCCTTATGTGTGCTGGGGAAGTGGACATCCAGAGAGTCAAAGTGACTTTCTAGGGTCACCAACTTGCAATGCTTCAGTGAGAGCAAGAGCTAGATCTTGTCAGTTGTCTCATCTATGACACTGTAAGCCTGTCCTCCCACCCCCAACCTCTCCCGTGTCACTACCATCAATGATGGTGATAAAACTATGACCATCACTACCACATACCCCTGGTCTACAGAGAGTACTACTTATTTTCAAAGAGGATTCCTTTAGCTCTTCCCGTAAGCAGCCTGAGGTGATCTCTGAAAATGGTTCGCTATTCACTTGACCTGGAAAACCCCACAAAATCATGCAAATCAAAAGGTTCAAATCTTCATGTTCACTTTAAGAACACAGGTGAAACTGCCCAGGCCATCAAGGGTATGCATATCTGAAAAGCCACCAAGTATCTGAAAATGTCACTTCACAGAAGCAATGTGTGCCGTTCTGACGCTACAATGGTGAAGTTGGTAGGTGTGCTAAACAGTGGGGCAGGACACAGGGTCCGTGGCCCAAAAAGAAGTGCTGAATTTTTACTGCACATGCTTAAAAATGCAGACAGTAATGCTGAACTTAAGGGTTTAGATGTAGATTCTCTGGTCATTGAGCACATCCAGGTGAACAAAGCCCCCCAAGATACAGCATAGAACTTACAGGGCTCCTGGATGAACTCTCCCTGACACATTGAGATGATCCTCACTGAAAAAGAGCAGTGTTCCTAAACCTTAAGAGGAAGTTCACAGAAGAAAAAGATACCATAGAAGAAACTGAAGAAACAAAAACTTATGGCCCAGGAGTAAATTCTACATAAAATAAACACAAATAAAAGTAAAAACAGAGAAACAAAAAACAAAAACAAAACAAAGAGGATTCCTTTTCCTACCTGTAAGGGTTGGTGGTAGTTCTGGAGAAAATAAAAAGGGTGTAGTCTCTAGAGGGGCCTGTGGGGTAACCAGCTGGCAATTGAAGGTAAAGTTCAGGAAGATGCAAGCTCTGCATAGAAAAGTCAAGAAGTTCCCTTCACTTTTCTAAGGGACCAGAGCACCATCTGCTGAGAAGGAGACCATGGCTAGCTAAGGTTTCCCAAGGAGCGTCAGGGGCGGCCCTCGCAGGGGGCAGGGAAGCCACGTGACACACAGTCTTCAAGTCCTTTGACCTCTTACAGAGCCCCAGGAAGGAACAATGTAGTGTACACCCTACATTGGAATGTTCTCTGAGGGCGGTTCAGGGTGAATGGAATGTGGGGCTGATGCCATTATATTTGGTTCTGTTTCCCTCTAGTGGTTGATCAACAGAGATTTCAGCTTGTAAGTACAGGTCCAGATAACCTGAGATTGTATCTGAACTCAGGGACAGAGCTGGACCAGGCAGCCCTAAATCCAACTGATTTTTCTCCTTGTTAACTAATACGGGCAGAGAGCCCAGAGCGCCATCCAGGACCCCAAGGGTTCTCAAAGGCAAACACATGACTGCATCAACTACTGAAATGCAACTTCCCCTGGGGGTTGAAACACAATGTTTAATAAAAATAGTAATAATACTTTTGAGTTTTGCTTTACGCTGGCATAGTTCTAAGTGTTTACAAGTATTAGCTCATTTAATCTTCATAACAAACCCATGAGGCAGGCATCATTATTTCTCATTTTACCAAAAAAGGGCCAATGTTGATATTGGGCTTCTTGTTTTGTATCCAGAAATAGTATTGTTGGTGGTAATTCCCCTGTCTTCCTTCAATCATTCAATCAGCAAATACATATTGAATGCCTGGGCTCTCATTAAGACCCTGCCCTATGCTTTTGTGATAATAATATGAGGCACAGCATTGATCACACACTGCACACTTTAATTAAGCCTCCACATCACCAGGAGCGGTGATGGCTGAGCTGGGGAGGGATCTTTAGCTGTAAGTGAAGGTTCTGCAGCTGGGAACGCCAGGAACCTATCAGTGCCTGCCTGGGGCACTAGGAAATAAGTAGAAGCAAAGATGACAGATGTGGTCATCCGCAGTAGGGCTGGATATACACACTGGTTCTAAAGCCTGTATGGGAAACTGTTGGTCCCCACAGCTAATAATGGTTTGGGTTCAATTGAGAGCCAGTGCAGGAATCAGTGTGAGAGTCATCACTGACCCTAGAGTGGGGGGCTGCCATCCCAAAGCAGTCCTAATGGCCATCTTTTCTGCCACTGACTCCTGTATTTGGCAGGTCCATCCTGACGGGTCTGTTGCCACCAACATCAGGGACTGTGCTCATTGGAGGAAAGGACATTGAAACCAGCCTGGATGCAGTCCGACAGAGTCTTGGCATGTGTCCACAGCACAACATCCTGTTCCACCAGTAAGTAGAACAGGAATTGAGATCGTCCCCATGCCTTGCTCTCCCCTGCCCCCCCAACACACATGTTCTCTAGAGCTGAGCTCAAGGATGCCTGTTCTGGGGGCAGCAGGCAGTGTGTTCTTGTTTGGTTTCCCCATGTTCAAGGTCCTTTGTCCTATAAGAGGTATCCCTCAGAAAGTCAGGCTATGCCTCTGGCATTGGGAGCTGAGGTCTACCCCCTAAGAAAAGTACTTCCCCCTGCTCTCTGACAGAGTGGTCCATCCTGGGGCCCCTTGTTCAGTCCTGAAATATTCCCTCTCAGGGACCAAGAGAGGAGACCATTGTTCCTGTTTCTCTCTTAAGCCAGGCACTAAAAACTGACTTTTCAGGAGGCTTTTCACTTGCTTTCCCCCGAAACTTTTACTTATTATTTTAAAAGCTATATTGTATTTATTTATTTATTTATTTATTTATTTATTTATTTATTTATTTTAATTTTTTTTCAACGTTTATTTATCTTTGGGACAGAGAGAGACAGAGCATGAACGGGGGAGGGGCAGAGAGAGAGGGAGACACAGAATCGGAAACAGGCTCCAGGCTCTGAGCCATCAGCCCAGAGCCCGACGCGGGGCTCGAACCCACGGACCGCGAGATCGTGACCTGGCTGAAGTTGGACGCTTAACCGACTGCGCCACCCAGGCGCCCCTAAAAGCTATATTGTATTTAGAGAAAGGAAGGAAAGAAATATAAATAGAATGGGGCACCTGGGTGGCTCAGTCAGTTAAGCACCTGACTTCAGCTCAGGTCATGATCTCACAGCTTGTGGGTTTGAACCCCGCGTTGGGCTCTGTGCTGACAGCTCAGAGCCTGGAGCCTGCCTCAGATTCTGTTTCCCTCTCTTCTTTGCACCTTCCCCGCTTGTGCTCTGTCTCTGTCTCTCTCAAAAATAAACATTTTAAAAAAGTTAAAAACAGAAAAGAAGAAAATGGAAGTCACCTGTAATTTCACCATCCATAATACCTTGGTGTATGATTTTTCAGAACTTCTCCTATGCAGGTGTGTGTGTGTGTGTGTGTGTGTGTGTGTGTGTGTGTGTGTGTGT